ATTCAACATCCAAAGCAACACCATCACCAACAAGAAGTTTACATGGATTACCAAAGTCAACTATTTGAGTAATATTCACACCATCAGATGTAACATGATGCTTAGCCTCTGAATCCATGACCCATTGTTCATGAGAAGAGTTCTATTTATAATAAACCACAAACTTAAATCTAGTTCTTTTAGTAAGACAATACTCACACTCAATATTCTTGTTATCACTCACAAAATAATAAGCAACACCAGATTCATCATTCGAATAAGAGTTATTATTGGTTATGACTCCAGGGAAGTTTTCATCAAATCGGTGCCAACAACGATCAACCAAATATCTATTTTTCCACACAGTTGACACTGTAACTTAGATTGACCTCGTTTTCGACCAGTAGACCTTCCACGAGAATATGATTGACGAGGAAAAAACTTAGATTGATCCTCATATCCACTTGCCACATTCTCTTGAGCAACATGAGCACTCATTGGAAAAGACTCAAATGAATCACCAAATCCAACCAATTGCTCAGCATCCATCAACATAGTATATATGGTATCAATAGTCACTGATTCTCGTATAGTTGTTATCACAGCTACAAACGACTGATACTCACGAGGTAATCCCTTAAGAATACTAGCTACATGTACAGCTTGAGACACCACACTCCCACACGAGGCTAAGGCATCACATATTTCCTTCACTCTCGTAAAGTAAGCTCGCATTGAATTATCACATTTCTTAAGAGATTGAAGTTTATAATATAGATTAATAGCAGCAGTAGTAGATCGATTGGCAAAAAATTGCAATACCTTATTCCAGACTGCTGACGCCGTCTCAATACCCACAAACTGATGTAAAAGTGGTTGACTAATCGTTGAAAGTAACAATGACGCAAATGCACTGTCCTGAGCCACAAACTCCTTTTACAACTTATTTGACACTACCTCTCTTGATCCATCAAACACCGTCGGCGACTGAACAGGCAGTGATCCCGTCAGTAACCTCTCCAAACTATGATTGCGAACCATGAGCAATATTTGTTACTTCTATAACAGAAAGTTCGTTTCATCAAGGATGACATTTACCTTCTTATTGGAGAAGACTTTAGTGTTCCTCGAAAGAAACTCCATCGGAGAGGAAGAATTGTCACCGTTCATCATGATGAACTTTTAAGCAGCGAAATACCACTAAATCCTCCCAAGACCATCAGCGAAAGATACCATGTTGAAAAGATGAAGATTGAGGAATGGATAAAATGTTTCTCATGTTTTTCTGCAAATACATCACTAGTTTATATAGAAATCTTATTGACTTCAAGCTCACTCAACCTCATAACTAATTCTAACCTGTAACAGCATTCATAACCAAATTTCCATACATCACTCTTAACAACCCTAACAACTCACACACCCTTCAGCAGGCTACACTCTATGCACACGTTAACATACTACAAACTCCAATACCCATTAATCCCCATAATAACAATCTTAATTTCCTCCCTCGAGACAAGACCACTCATCACATACTTGACACCATCAGAGAAAGGGATATTTAAAATATCCTTAAGCATCCCCCAGGACAACCTCCAATATCCTTACCGGGACTGGCAATCAAGGACTTATAAAAATTCACTACCTCATTGGTAATCCCATACATAGTCTTCAACATCCTCCTATCCCTAGATTTAATACAACGAATATATTGCTGATGCTGTTGAGCTGCAATCATTGTATGAAAAAAACTTAGAATTATGGTCCCCTCATGAATCCAAGTAATTCGAGATTTTATCCTATAGGAACTCTCCTTAACAGCTTGCAGATCCAACAAATCAACAAACTGAGCAACCTCCTCCAGCCTCGAAGCAACACTAGCATCAGGATTTAAATTATGAAGTTGAACCCTTTCATAGTCAACCATCTTAGCCTTCACCCTCTTGAAAAATATAATTATAAAAGGACTGATTGAACTGCTTCAAAATCTGCTTAAGCCTATTAAGCTTCAAAACCATCTTTCTCATTTTTTCTCTTATAAAAAGTGGATATTTCTATTATATTAGTGATTAGTGGTATGAACATTTCTTATTTAAGGATCAAATTCTATAACTGTCTCACTTATAAAAACAAATCAATAAACAATTATTTTTTTATAATTAAATTGAATTATGTCAAATTAATTTCAAGTTTAGACTCATAAACATCAAACATTAGAGATACATTACCTGGTCATCTAAAGAAAGGGTCGAGAACATAGGAAGAGTTGTTGTGTATATGTAATCAAGACCGTTTGACAATTGAGTCCATCATTGTGTTCTCCATGTATTACTTTTGATGAACGTGCCTGCCGACACCATCATCAATACTGCTCAAGGATTTCTCCATTGAATTTACTTTTGTGTTTCACATCCCACAATTTGATTTTTAAAATTTACATTCATGTTGTAAAAAGCAATATTGATAAGATATGTGCACGTTATCGTGTGTAGAGTAGGGTTTTACTTCAAATTTCTAAAAGAATAAAAAGGTATAAAAGTCAATCACGGTCAACAAATCCCACTATCACCATGATTAGAACAACTTTTATTTTAATATATAACTCTAGGTCAAGTGCATGAAACCCAGATTTTTGTTTCACATTTCTTTTCTTGGATTCCATTTATATGGTTTAGAACTGGAATTGTAGCTTGCATGGAAATCCCATAATATCAATCATTGTATGGTGAAAAATTGAAATTCACAAACTTAACTAAGTGTGAAATTAGTTTGAAAATAATTATGAAATTGTTAATGATTGCAAGTTGCAAACCCAAAAGGAAAAAAACCCTAATCATTATGTGTTGCTACCCATGCTTGTTCATTTCTATTTTTCATACCAAACAAAACTTGTATTTTTTGTGGTGAAATTTTTATTTTCCACTAACTTTGTAATTTATAGTAGCTTTTATTAAAAACAAAATAACAAGAAGAGATGATGATGTTGAAAACCACGTGCAGTGTAGTCCCAGATTAATTAAAGGCCCATTTGACAATGAGTTGTGTTTGCCAATCACACTGTTAAATTCAGCCTCCTCCTATCTGATCCTATGGCTGTGGCTTAGCCTTAGCTAACCAAAATTGTCCGCTGCTAGTCTCACCAGACTTGTATAGCCAAGTGCAAGGGCTAAGCTCTACATATCAAACTGCATTTTGATCAAGTTTTAGTAATTAATGTGATATTAAATGTTTGGGTTTAGCTTCGTTAATCCTCTTTGCCCATTTTGCTCCATGAAAGTGATGCAACAACGTTTGACAATGGTGGAAGAAACATGATTATAGAGGGGGAAAAAGAATTGACGTATTATCTAATCTCACATCTTCAAAAAAAAAAACATATCCATTGAATTTCTCGAAATTCTCCAATTTTAAAACCAGAACCTACGCCTAATGACAAAAGAAAAAGGATGAAAAGGGGTCATTATCATGCTAATTGAATCCAGCTCTATATACCAATGACTAACATCATCCACTGATAACAAAACCGAAAGCTCAGAATTGGTGCTTTAATGGCAAGCAGAGTAATGATGTCGTAAAGCACTACAATGTTGTTTAAATACAAACCAAAAAACCCACTCCAAAATAGTTCAGTTTTAACAACCCTAATCTTCACTTTTGCAAGCACCCTTAGCTATAAGTGCAGGCTGGGGACTACTACTTACCATAAAAGAAGCAATAATCTGTCAGTATTAACACAAGTTGTTAGACATAGATCAGCTGCTTTGAATTTTATACTTTATGTTGTATATGCTATCTCTAAAATCACCCTTAGCCACTCTCACGTCATATGAAATCATATGTCAAGTAGGGATTTTCATCATCTTTCAGTCTTAGCTATTTGTCTTCTTTTCTGGTTGGCAATGGATACAATTGCAGGAATTTGTGTCATTTTGCCAAAACTGAGGGAAAGTGACAAAATGAACATGGATAACATGGGGTTAGTCAATGACCCTCAAAACGAACCAAATTGCAAAGAAGGGTCGTGGCCATGAAAAAGGAATGGAAGGCATGAAATAAGGACCGACCATGAAGTGTCATGTTGGTTGTGTTTAGCAATGTGCAGTTGTCTAAGATAACTCCAACAGATCACATGAGAGAATGGTCCCCAAGAATAGACCAAGTTAAGAAATTTCAATGGCTAGGGGAGCCATTTTCTTCTCTTTCTTAAAAGTGAACCTCATCCCCACTCCACATGGGATACAAGTTGGGTTTATGCATCGACGATTGACAATTACAGTGCTGATGTTAACCCTTTATTGCAAGTTTTTTGCGGCAAATGACATGCAAAGCCTTTTGTTTTGTGAAGCTTTTGGTATTGTGAGTCCAAGTTGTATCCAGACTTGGACTACAATACGTGACAGATGTTGGGTTGGGTTGGGTTGGGAAGCGGGGGACTTAAAATCCTATTACTGCACAATTTTTCGAGCCCACCAAGCAAGGTTTTGACTCACAAACTTCGTAGAAATAAGGTTTGGCAAAACCAACTCTTTAGTCACCCAACATTAAGTGTATTTCTGTTTTGAACACCAAATTATGAAAAATTTCAATTTGATTATAAACTTACGAATTTTGTTCTATCGTCACCTATTGTCGTTTGCAATGTACATGTTATCTTTTATTATCTTCAAAATTGATAAAACTCAAACCAAATCTCTAATCCTATATTGAATTAATTTGTAATTTTCACTGTTAGATCAACATAAAAAATAGACATTATTTTTTAAATTCTTCTATACGCACCTTTTGGATTCGAAGTCCAAAATTTTAGATGAAAGTGGAAAGTTTCAAGAGTTTTCGCATAAACTTAACAAAATTTCAGGAGTTTGTTTTTTGCACAATTTTCAAACGAGGTTAAAAAAATAACGATTAAATGAACAAGATTTAAAATTCAATGATCAAATTGAATTTTTTTATAATTAAGTGACCAAAACAGAAATCACATTAAAAACTGCGGGACTAAAGAGATACTTTACCCATAATCCACCATCATAAAAATAAATAGTATGATACAAACGATATTAATAGATTTCAACCTTTGTTTCCACAAAATAATATCTATACAACACCACCTAGTTTCCAGTCCCAATATTTACTCGATCAAAGAACCTTGATAGATATGCCACGTTTCAACCCTTCATGCTTGGACCTGCAATAGTCTTCGAGCGCACGACCGCACCTTGATCGATTGACTTCCCACTAAAAAGTTGCAAAGAAAACGAACCACTTTTTCTCAGCTATCCGGGAAATTCTCTACCCGAGTTGACCTTCATGAAGAGATTCTTCTTCATGTGACTTTGGTTAAGCAACAGCATAGTACTATTACGTGGGGGAGGCTGCAAAACCCCTTGAACACAATCTCCCGCCCGTGCACATCTCCAAGACCTTGGTGGTCCATCCTCAGAAAATTGTCTAACCCTTGAGATACTATTCCTAAACCTAGAGAAGACTCAGTTTTCTGGAAAATTTTGCTCTTCAAATTTGGAACATACAGGACAAGGAGGGTCGCTTATACGAGCTTTTTGTGTTATCTGCTCCAAACATTCTGCATGGAAAGTGTGCCCACATGTGCAACAGGCATGTCACTACTTCTTACAATCCTACGAGCACTCCAAGGCGATCACTGTGAGAGATATCTTTCACACAAACTACATTTAAAAACACTATATGGGATACACGATCGGCCAAACATCACAGATTCAAATGGTTCAGAAATATCTGCAATATCATTGCCGCTGCTAGCACTGCTCCAGCGATGGGCATCTCTTTGTGGCATGGCTGTATCATCTGAAAGCCCCGCAGTTGCAGAGTCTGCGGCTTCCGTGGTAGGAGTCTCCATGGGAAAGGACAAGGGGTGAATAGGTTTGGACATGAAGTAATACCGACTTGAAACGTTTTGTTGAGATGATAAGCACCGCTTCACCATGGGCTCAGACTCACTACTGTCTGAATAAGATGAAGTGGAGACACCACTATCTGCATTTGTTGAAGTTCCCTGCAAAATTCCATCAACTTAAGGAATACAAATTCTAGGGAAACATTCTCAGCTTAACATGGGCGTGAATATGAGAATAAGGTACCTCAACTATATCAGTGAAGGGTAACCGCCCACCAACATGATCTAAAAAGGAAAAGATAACAATAAGTTGTTCAAGTCAAGTTTTAAATACCAAGAACATTAAAAGAGTATTTTGGACCACTGCATTCCACCCTACAATATAGTAGCTGACTAGGCTGTTGAACATCACAGTTATTCAACTCAAAAGCAATGAGAAAGCAATAGATAGAGTTACAATCTATAACAATAAAAGAAGCCAAAGTTTTTTTTCTCTTTCACATTGAACAATCAAAGTGAACCTCAATACAGTTTAACATTTAAAGTGTCACTCTTAACTAGCGTACCTCTTCTCACCGCAGTTTCATAATCATCAAGAGTGATTTCTTGTATTACTGGAGGTGTCCACTGTGGACCCTGTGAAAGGTCCGATGGGCTACTTTAAAATGGCCCAGCACCGTCAGATGCTGAATATTGATGATTGTAAAGAAGGTTTCTCCTCACCCAGCCCCTACTTTCTTCGCTGTTTGGAGATGTAGAAGATTCATACAATTGACTACCATCATATGAACCATACGACAGTCCGTCGGGTTGAAAATGGAAATCCCATCTTGAAGGGGGTGGTGAGAAACTAGTATTAGTTCGCCAACAAGGCTCTTGAGGGCCCATCGACCAGTCTCTACCGGGTGTGGTTGACCCACACAACACAGAGACCCCGTCTTAGCTATCTTTAGTAAACCTCACAAGTTTCAACTCTACAAGCTTTCAACTTTTACACTTCCCGACAACTAACTCAAAGAATGACAACATCCTTGAGATATGTTACCTTCTCAGTGACCATTTTGATGTTAAGACCCAAAATTCAGAAGTATAAGACTTAATTCATTAAGCAACACACTATCTTCATCAGTGAAGTATGTTAATTATACATTTCACTAGAGCATGTTAAATCCCCTCGACAGTTCCTTTTGAGTACCATCAAAACAGAAACCTGGCAGGAAAAAAGTAAAATAAGTACAATAAGACGTAATAATCATGGCATAAAACAGCCGTAAATTTAGCAATGAAATAAAATAAACAAGAAGGAACAGAGTGTCCCTCCAAGTTAATGATCAAATAGACTTTCATCATATCATTTCCTAAACATCCACTATCCAACTTCCATACAGTTACTCCCAAAATAGAAATGACAGCAATATATTTTAATAATTTCAGACAAACTAAGCAGAATTATCTTGTAAAATAACTATACAAATTCTATATTTCAACTTGACATATTCATGAAGCTAGGAATCAAACAGCCTAAAAATGCAATTTTTTTTTCATAATTTCTGAACTTCGGAAAAAATGAAAAAAGAAACTTAACGAAAACCAAGTATAAGTAACTACATAGTAGCAAAGAAACCTAAAACAAGAAATATGAATAAAATAACTTTGAAGAACAGTTCAGAGAGGCTTAAAGGAAGCTGCGATTATGCACGTAATTAGAACCAAAAATTTAAGTTAATATTAATGAGAAAACGATAAAAAAACAAAGAGAGTAAAAGCTATCTTGCACTGATATGGATACGAGGACAGAGACGGGATGGGAAACGGCAATTTTTAAAGGGGACGGTAAGGGTACGTCATATAAAATAATTTTAAAATTATACATATATATAAAAAGTCATAAATAAAATCAAATATCAAGACTCAAACCACAATATTAAATTTAAAACAGTAAAATCCCTAAATTACTTTTTTGACCAAATTGTAATTATTGTAAATTATGTAACCTTTTCAGTAAACATATAATATTTGAGGACTATCTATGAGATTATTTCATTTTTATTATAATCACAAATCCCTACCTTTATTCCAACATTCACACGCACCTCCCCTATTTCTTTTCCTTCTTCTTCCTTTGTTGTTTCACGAACGCTCATCCACAATCGTCACTTCGCCGCCGTTCTTACTGATCTAAGGTAAGTAGGTCATCAGTCATCGTCCAAAAGCTTCCATGTTGTGACCCCAACCCTCGCCGTCGACTGGTTCTCATCCGTCGTCGTCGTGGGTCGTGTTGCAGTCAAAATTACCCCTGGGGACGTCCCCGGATAAGCTTTGACCGTCCCCTAATTCGGTCAGCCGTACCCTACCACTGTGGCACGTCCCTGTACCAAAAACGTATCGAGCACTTGAAACGGGCCTCCTTGCCATTCCGGTGCTTCTTAGAATAAAAGAATAAAAAGAGAGTGGGAGCTTACGATTTCAAGGAGACGAAATGCAATCGGGAGGAAATGCGAGGGGAATTTTGGAGTGTGAAAACAAACCCTAATTTGTTGAGGGAAAGAAGATTAATTTGATGTGAACATTTTCTATTTTCACATTACGACCTCCTTTCTTTATGTAATTCTAAAACCATCCCAAGTTTTGTTTTGTTTTTCTTTGCGTTTTACACTTTTAAGAGTATTATTAGTCTACAACTTTTATTAGTAAAGTTTATATTATAGTGCAAATAAATTTGAAAACAACAATATTTTATGTGTATAAAATAAATTCTTAATTGAATCGATAAGTGATATGTATTCCACACTCACAATCTATATATGTATTCCACACTCACACTCACACTCACACTCACACTCACACTCACACTCACACTCACACTCACACTCACAATCTATATAATTATATGTATTTAGAATTTATTGAGTGATCCCGATTGTACGATCAATCAAAACTCTCGACAATTAAATATTGTATTTTGCGGGACAATGTCATTGAATCTCAAGATTTTCTCTCTACCATCTCAAGAGTATTTCAGGATGGAAGGGGGCTGTTCGTAAATTGTGTAGGATATATAGTACTTATCATAACTTACCACTGCGATGACCTGATTGAAGAGCTTGTCAATGTTGATGACTTGATTACAGAGTTGATGAACCTCGGAGGACCAATTGTGAATCGTGGAGAGATATTATAATATAAATAAATATGATTGATTAATTAAGAGCAGCTTATTTAAAAATTGGAATAAACTCATACCTCCCTGGTAGATTACGTAGTCATTCTTTGCACCGGCTGGCAAGCAATTATTAGTTTAATGGCAACAGTAAGACTCATTTGCAAAATGCCCCCACATGTTTTATCTGCCCAACTTTGGCCCCCCCAAAACTTTTCATTTTGCTTATATGCCCACTCCAAGACAAGCATTGGACCATTCGAGTTTAGAATTAACAGCATATCCCATTGGAAACTCAAAATCAGAGGGACCTAAGGCGATAATTAGACGGTTGTTCTTAAAAATGTAAGTATTGGTCACCAGAGAATACAACATGACTGGTAAAAGTCGAGGCTTTAATTGCAATCAACTCCATAAACATGTGGATTTATTAAAGGAAGGCATGTTTAGTTCCAAACTCGGAAACCCTGCTGAAGTTATATATTTCCCCGTTTCTCTGGTAAGGTGACACCCATCTGCAACTGTTTGTTGCAAAGGATCAAGCACGCTCTGCCACAACTTGAGGCTTGTTCCATCTGCAATACCATCTCAAACATGAATCTATCGTTTTTCCTTAAGTTTTAAAAAACAATGCAATCAAACAAAATTTTATTTAATCCTAATTATTCTAAAATAAATTAAGGTTTTTTCTAGCTTATGGTGTCAAATTATGAAAATTAAAGAACCTAGGGGCTCAAACCTAAAAATGTAGGCTATAATATTAATCATTTTTTATTTTAATTAATTATTGAATCGAATAACCGAAGTGGTCCCTCGAGCGTTTACGCGAGGGCCAACTCGAATTATCCCCTAAATTTAAAGACTAGTTTGAAATCTAAACTAAAATGGAAGCTATATTTAACCTATTTAATTATGTCAATATCAAAAATCGAATCGAAGTTTGGGGACCTAATTGCATAAATTTTAAATTACTAAGCTAAAATTAAACATGAAAAGGGTTAAATTAAAATAAATAAAAAATTAAAGCTTAATTCGAAATAAAATAGAAGCGAATAGACTATTAACTAAAATACAAAACACGTACAACCTAAGGACCTAAACGAAATTAACCCAAAAAAATTAAAATCAGGCATAAAAAATGGAAAAATTACAAAACAGCCTACAAGACTAACATGTAAAAATATAGAATCCTAATGTCTAAACAACGAAAATTAAAGAAATTAACACTAGGACTAAAATTAAATACACTTAAAATAAATAGAAAGAATTATAAACATGCAAACTGTGTGAAAGAATATGCATCATACGGAAAATTGCTTCTTTCGCATTGCTCCTTAGAAAAAAATTGTGAGGAAAAGCTCCCATGATTACATTGACTGTGTAAAAGAAATGAGATGGGAAATCCCTGTTTTTCTCCACACTTACAATCTATTTTTTTGTTCTCTCCTCCTCCCTACCCCTGATTTTGGTTACGTTTGTATCTTCGGTTTTTGCTCTCGGTTTTTGATTTCTGACCTTGTTGATGGACCTCCTTTTCTTTATGTGTTTTCTGTTTTTTGGTCGAGAGCCCCAATTTAATATTGTTATCCTTTGCTACCCATAATATGTTGCCCCCACCTTAATTGTTTACTAATATAATCTCTTTTATTTTGCAGGGCATGGGAGTAGCATGGCGTGGGTAATTAGTGGAGCATGTGCAACAGTTGGGGATATTAAAAGAAATGGGCAAGTGGTGTTACAAGGTATGACCCCTTTTTTTAAAAAAAATATTGGTGTTTACAGGAAACAAGATAGAAAGTTGAGAAGAATGGGCCCCTCCAAGATAGATTGAGAGTCATACTTTTCCTGGATATTTTTTTTGGCAAGATTTTGTGTTTTGCGAGGTTAAAAATATTTGGGAAGAATGAGCCCCTTCCAAATCTGGGCCCTAGGCGGTCGGTCTCTCCGCCTGGGCTCAGGGCCGGCCCTTTTGATAAACAGGAAAAGCCCTCCTAGTTTCAGCACCCTCTTAACCTCTTATCAAAGTTAACAATTCACTAAAATAGTTCATGCATGAGCTAATCACTAGTTTTTGAAGTATCAAACATTCAAACTACCTTTAAGTGCCATGTTAACATCTTTGACAGAGCATAATACAAGTGTTCCTACAACTGCATCTATGGAGGAATCATCTAGTGGAACAGCCTCCGCAACCCGTACAAGATGCAGCATTTTGTATCTTAGTCTCCGATTACATAGAAAAAGGCATCAATTTTCCCATAACTTACGCCATCGATGCAACTTACAGCTTCTATGAAATGGAAATTATTCGGCCGAATACCGACCGCGGCTGCCGATGCTCAAGCATACTTCTCCATCTTCTTGTTAGGATCCAATCCAAAAACTTGGACCTCATCGTTACCAGAATACTACTCGAGATTAGGGCCTGTTCCAATGCCAATCTCCATTACCCTTTTGGCCTTTCCCTTTAGTTTCCCGAAGAGCTGCGACTAATAACCTGCAATCTTCAGATTCAACAAGTCTTAGTAATTCAATCACACACACACACATATATACGTATTTATGTATGCATGTATGCATGTATGCATGTATGCGTGTATATGAGAAGAAATGCATAAACTAACCTTTGCCTCATAAGATTTCATGCTTGTGTTCATAACAGAGACATAGAACTCTTCATACCAATCAGGTCTTGGAGGGTGAATCTTGTTGAGCAAAGCTTAAATAAAGAAAAATATTCTAAGAAATCATATAACTAGATATATATATGTGTGTGTATATGTCTTGAGAGAGATGAAGAAAGGGTACTACCAAGTAATCATTAGAGTGTAAAGTGGAGGCATTGGATTTGGGAGGGGAAATTTGAAGAAAAGAGGTAGTGGCTGCTTCAATAAAATGCCTTCGTCCACAACATGAACAGAATCTGACGGCAGACGGTGACTGTTTGCTGGGAATTGCAGTGGCTGAGCTGCTCTTTTGGGTGGTTTGTACGATGGCAAGAGGTTGAAGCTGGGAACCAGGAGACTGATGGAGGGGAACCAGCTTCAACATATTTGGTTTTTTAGTGTCAGTTTCAAGTCACAGTTAGAGGAATGGCTCGCCAAAAGCACCGGCTTTGTTTTGTAACTCCATGGCCATCATCAACCTCACAAATTTTCAAGAAATTTTCTTTCTTTTACTGTAATGGTTTAATATCAAAACAAGTGCTCAAACTATACCTAAAATCTCTAATAGGTGCCTAAACTATTCTTTGACCCATCTAGGTGCCTAACGTTACAAATGTTACCCATTTAAGTGCCCAGACCGTCAACGACGTTAACTTTCCAATTAAGTGAAACGTGTCACAATATGGTATTTTAATTTTTTTAAAAAAATATTATTATATATATAAAAAACTCTAATTTCTATTAAATCATAAAAAATCCCCAAATCCTATTCTTAACCGTCGTTGTCCCCATTTCTGACCACGATTATCATCGCCGACATAGTCTCTACCATCCTCCTAGTCATATGCTATTGTAGTTGTCGTCGATTGGCTGTCGAGATCGCGTGGGATCACGATTTTCATCCTTGTGTTTGTGGGGTATAAAACGTCAATATGTCGTTGATTAACCATCGATCGATCATAATTTCATGGGGGTTTTGGTCGTTGGGGGAGATAAGGTCGAATGAAGCTTCGTCGACGACAAAGGGCGACAATCGACGTGGGTTTAGGGGTTGAAATGAAGGTTTTCAAAGTTCTTGGGTTTATTTCAAAATGTTTATTTTTTTTCTTTAAAAATATATATGATTTATTTTTTTAGTTTTAAATAAAAATTTTAAAAGCATCAGTTTGTGACACGTGTCACTTATGGGGAAATTAACATCGTTGACAGCCCGGGCACCTAAATAGGTAACATTTATAATATTAGACATCTGTATGGGTCAGAAAATAGTTTAGGCACCTATTCGAGATTTTAGGTATAGTTTGGGTACTTATTTTGGTATTAAGCCTTTATAATATATAATTATATTTAGGGTAAATTACACTGCTACTCACTCTACTTTACTCTATCTCCTATTTTGTTCACCTAGCTTTCAGTTTTTCTAATTTGCTCATTGGACTTTACAAATTGAATCATTTGCTCACTCCCCCGTTTTTTCTCTAACGGTGCATTTATTATTATTATTTAATATAAAATAATTAAAAATAAAATAAATATATAAGGTGGTCGGATGCCACCGTTAACCGTCGTAGATGGTGGTCGTTTGGTCCCAAATGGGATGGGTCGCTTTGCCTCAACGTTGTGAGTTTGAATTCGACCTCCATTTTGTCGGAAGTTGTTCTGAAGTCCACGAATTTG